TTGTCTCACGTGTCAGTGACGTGTTCCGTGTCTCACGTGTCAGTGACATGTTCCTTGTCTCACATGTGAGTGACGTGTTCCTTGTCTCACGTGTGAGTGACGTGTTCCTTGTCTCATATGTGAGTGACGTGTTCCTGGTCTCGTATGTGAATGACGTGTTCCTTGCCTGGTGTGTGAGTGACGTGTTCCTTGTCTCATATGTGAGTGACGTGTTCCTTGTCTCATATGTGAGTGACGTGTTCCATGTCTCATATGTGAGTGACATGTTCCTTGTCTCATATGTGAGTGACGTGTTCCTTGCCTGGTGTCCACGGCCCTGCTGTGGCCTCTCCTGGGATGCCATGTGTGTAACAGGGATTTGGCTGTGGGGGATTATAATGGGAGGAAGTTTTTTGCATCCCTGCAGTCGAGGTTACAGGTAATAAATGTGAATGTCAGAAGCTGTAAGTTCTGACCCTGTGTAACTTCAGTGTGTCTGCCACAAATACATCAAAAGTGAGAAGGGACTTAATAAATCCACAGGAAACACTGAAATATAGTTCTGAACAAAAACCAGTGCACATTTATAGAGCATTTTTCTATAAGAAGAGCTTAATTTTGTATCTTTGCAAAAAAACCCATCAGCCACTGGCCCAGAAATGCCTAGAGGCACAAGACTCAACAATTCCCAGTGTTGGTGTGGAGAAGAGGTGTCTGACTGTTTGCTCAGTGACACAAGAAAATCAAAACAAGCAAAGCTGCTGTTTTGATGGACAGACAGACAACTGATCCTGCATAGACAGCAGCTAAGTCCAGGCTGACTGAAGGTGATCAGACCTCCTCAGACACAGCAGCTTGAGAAGCCCTACAAACACGTCAATTTTTTGGACACAAATGAGAATCCCAAATCAAGTTTATTGAAAGGGGGGGAGGAATAGTTTCATAAAACCACATTTCTGTTTCTGTGAATGCCACAGCTGCATTTTGGAGGACTGCAGGGAGAAGATCAGAGTGTCCGGACAAGTTACAAGCTCCTCGGAATAATCTCCCTCTTCCATCTCCTGCTGACCATCGGAGTTCAGGTGTACAGCTTCAAACAGAAGCAGAGGGCGAGGCAGGAGTGGAAGCTGCACCGCAACCTCGCCCACCAGAAGTGAGAGGTGGTTTTTACTTACTGGGAAAGAGGGGGGAGCAGTGGTGGGAATGGCAGAGCTGCCATGGGCAGGGGGAACATGGGACTGACACACTCATTTAAGTTAGAACTTGATGTTATGTTTAATTAATTAGCAAAGTTAATTCCTAGCTGTTTTAAGCATTTAAGTTTTCATGCTTTGGTGGTTCTGAGCAAGGGTTAATACTTGCAGATGGTGGTTACTTTAGGATGGTGTTACCAAATCTCTCTTCCAGGCAGGCTGCATCATTAACCTGTGACTCTGTTCATTAGAAACACGAGCAAGGACAAGGCCCCTGGGCGCCAGTCCCGCTGCACTCTGTGCCTGGAGGAGAGGAGGCACAGCACAGCCACCCCCTGTGGGCACCTCTTCTGCTGGGAGTGCATCACTGCCTGGTGCAACACCAGGGTGAGTGCAGGGACAGGCACACACTGCTGAAATCTCCACCTGAAAACACCCCTCAGCCTGGCTGGTCAAACCCCCTCCCTCACTGAGGCACCCAGAGTTACCAGGACATATTTACTGAAACAGAACGACCAACATTACATTGTGAAGGTTACATGGAAACATTTATAAATAGGGGAATTATATTTATAAATATATAAAATATATTTATAAATACATTTAAATAATATATAAATAAGCTGAGCAGCTTAAACTGGGCCAGCTCAGAGTGCTTTATGTGGCAAAAGCTTGTACCACAAACAGGACTGAAAAAACAGTTTGTGAAGTTTGGATGCTGATTATTTTCTAAAAGTAGCTGAAGTTATATTTGGATGTCTTTAAACTTTTCAGTAGAACTATTCAGTCTGTCCTGTATCTGATCTCTTGTCTGCAGGCAGAGTGCCCACTGTGCAGAGAGAAGTTCCACCCCCAGAAGCTGATCTACCTACGGCACTACCAGCTGTGAAGGACAAACCCGGCCTGGGCCCTGACAGGGCCTCAGCTCCCACTCTGTACTTGCCACACAGCCCCAGCTGGGCCAAGGGAAGGCTTCAAGGACCTGGAAATGCCCATGCAAGGTGGCACTTCAGTGCTGGGTTGCAAATAAAGCCCTCTCTGCCTCTACCCCTCCGTCTCTTTGGACACGGTTCCTGACCATATTAAAAATGTGTTTCTAAGAAGTGTTGTTAACACTCAGCTGTTCAGAAGGAGTCATCCCACTTGGGAATTTTAACACTAATAAACATCCTGGTTTTCTCCCTGATTTGTCCATATTATTCAGAAGCTCCAGCAAGCCTGAAAACAGCTTCTCCAAGTCAGGGCTTTCATGTTTTTAGGCAACAAACCACATCCACCACTGGTGCTTCTATAAGGCCTGTTCTGGATCCTGTTTCCATAATTTTAAGTGTTTACATTCCTCGTTTCCACACTGCTAATAAAACAAACACATGCAAACAAACAGAAAGCAACAGGTCAATGTGAGCTAAAACTACCTGTCATATTCCCAGGACTGCTGAATTCCAGAGCTCCACAAAGAATTCACTTGACAAAACCAGAGGAAAAGGTGCCTACATCTATCTCCCAATTAGGTGTCTGTTGAAGCTGCCACTGTTCTCCATTCAGAATCTTCAAAAAGCTGATCTTTTCCTACCTTCTGCAAGTGAATGGTCCCTGAGGAGTTGGAAAAGGCATTGCATGAAGGTAAGTTGAGGGTAACCATTACTGAAAAGGAGCCATAAATGCTGTTAGATCAATAGATGTATATAAAGATAGAGAACAAGTAAAGGGGAACACTGTCTTTTAATAAATTTTGGAATTAAAAAGTCACTTAATAAAACTGCAGTCGTATCACATGAAAAAGTTTACATGCAGGTCATTTATGTCTTATTTCCCTCCCCCCCCATAGAAAATGAAAATCTGTGTTAAAACCCCCACCACTGTCTGTTCTGGCCAGTTTGGGTACTTGCTGTGGGGCTGCAGGAAGTCAGCTGAAATTATTCATGAAACCATTAAGTACGAAAGAAACTCCAACTAAGAACAATTAAAATATATATTTTTATAATTCCAGGTCCTCAAAGGAAATTGTGATAGAGTTTGAACAAAGTTCTGAGTCATCACGAAAGAGCCCAATTTTAGCATCTGCTTGGAGCTGGAACAGTGAAACTGGCATTGAAACCCAACACAAACGAGTTGCTTTACAAGCTAAATGAGTTTTTTTTTTTTTCCCCTACTGCAAACCCATAATTTAGTAGATTTCTTATTCCTACCTATTGGGTTATAACTCAGTAATACCATGCATTTAGGAAACTGGCTTAAGTTCTGCAGCTATTTAAGTCTACTGAAGGTTTCTATGAGAACAGCACACGGCCCCGAAGCAGAAAACAGCCTCACGTGTGCCAGCTTACACTTTCCTCCACAGATGTGCACAGCACTTCAGGGTGATGGTGAGCAGGAGAACTACGTAAAAACATCCAGCTCTAGGCCATTAACCTCTCCAGTGCAATGGATCTTGAAAGGAATACGTTATCCCAGATCCGTGGGATTATCCAAAGTTTCTCCAACTTCTTCCAAAAAGAGAATAAACTCAATGCAATTTGGTTAGAATGCCAGTTTCCTCAAGAAACTGAGCTGATACTTCAGATAAAAATAGCAAGATCCTCGTAAAATGAAAATTCAACTGCTTTGTCACCACTCTGTTAATCATTTTATGAAGAAAAAAGGCATTGTTACAATGGCTCAAAATCGTTCCTTTAGTGAGCAGTAGAACTGGTCAACAGGGTGTTGCTCCCTCTAGCTGGCAAAGGTCTTCCCCACATCCTCCTTCCCTTTGTATTTCCTCTTGCCATGTGTGAAGGGTATATATCTGTACTTTATCATGTGCTGCAAAGAGAAAACATCAAGTGTTGAGGCAAGAAACTTGGGGAATACTTAGACAAAATGTTCTGTAATGCACATCGTCCCCTAGAAAGGCAGTTCTTAGTAAAGGTAGTGAAATAGCTAATCCTACACCAGTTTAAATCTAAACAGGTGTATGAGATCAGCCTCACAAATCTCAAATTTGGCTGTACCCAACAACTCATACAGAACAGTGAAGGTCACTGACTGAGGGACCACAGGAAACTGGACAGAGCAGAGAGGAACTAATTCTTTACTACCCTTTAATCTTAAATTTCCCACTCAAATCACAGTTCCTATCCGAAATTCTGAACATCTGGGGGAAAAAAAATAGCTTTTTAAAATGCCAACAAATCATAAGTAACTTGTTAAGATGGTCAGGATGAGTTGTCTGTGTTCTGCTTCCTCTTTCCCTCACCTACTTTCTTGCACCAACTCGTCAGAACTTCCCTTTTCACCCATCAGAGATGGTACCACACCTCTTCATTAAAAATAGCCACAGTTAGGACAGGAAGTGGATGAGAACCTGATCTTGCATTCTAAAATCAAAACCTTTTGAAAGTGAGAATAAAAGCTGCTCAGTGCTGCAGATGTACAACACAAACAACTCCTGTCCAGGTGCTGCCTGCTGGAGTTGCTGCAGGGCCACAAGTGTGTGCAGCACATTTCCCACCTGAACGGCCAAGGGCATGGCCAGGCTGGAACAAAGCTGCACCTCCTGCCCCCCCAAAAGCTGCTCCCTGTTGCTGGGGAGTTACCTTGATTTGCCTCTTCATAGTGATGCAGAAGAGCATGATGAAGTACATCACCAGGATGGGCCAGAACACAGGCACGTTGAAAGCCTCGAAGAACGTACACGCCATGGCAACCAGGATTCCTTTAGTGGCAGAGTGCCTGGAAAACAACAGCCACAGTCAATCCTTCGAGCCCAGCCACCACTCAGGAGAGGCAGATATTTGTATTTTTCAAAGCCAGAGCACGGGCAGACGGATCCACTCACCAGAATTTGAATTCTGGGAGCCTTCTAATGAAAGGCCGAAATTCTTCGTTTTGCCTTGTAGGTAAGGAAGGACCATCATCTGAAAATAACAGGGAAAAAACCAAACCACAAACCCCCTCACAGTAGCTTTCCACACTATTCAGACTCCTGATTTTTTTTTTACTTTTTATCTTAAAAAAACTCCCCAAAAATCACAAAATGAATCCACACCCAATTTCCACTGTTACACTTAGATCCCAGTTACAGTTTAATGTAACTAAGCACTGATTCCTCAAAAGAAAATAAGGAACAGAAATGAGTGCCAGGTCACTATGGGGAGAATTTAAGTCACATAAAGCTCCTTTCAGAACACAGAAAACTAATACAATATGGAATATGTTCAAGTCCCACGTAAGAGAGGACAAATTTTATGGTAACTCTTGATGTGAAGCTGCACAGATTTTTTGCAAGTCTAAAAAATACAACATCCTGCTGACACTGCACATCTTTACAGACTTCATCAGCCCAAGGGATCTGGAAGTTTGACTAAGGTCTGAACTGTGGCAAAATGAACTTTCCATCATACCTGAGTCTTCCATTAGAGAGGGGTCTACCTTTGGCGACAGGAAAGCTATGAAGAGGTTTAGGTGGTAGATTCCCAAGGCATATGTCACAATGTACCAACCCTGCACAGGGAGGGAGGAACAGCCAGGGTTAAAGTCTTCCTGAAACACATTTGCTGATACTTCTTTTTTAACAAGATTAAACAACCTGGGTTCTTTGCTTCCTTGAGAAGCTTTTCTACATCCTCACCTTAACTGAAAGGTTTCTGGACTAGGATATTAACACCATAAAAATAAAAATGTTAACAATTCTGACAATATTAACAATATTACATAAAAACATTAACAATTCTCACCTATCAAAACAAGTCTTAGAACACAAGAGGAGTGCAAATCCCTCATGTACTCAAGAGCTGCTCTCTCTTCAGGTTATCCAATCCACCTTCTACCATGAGCTAAACGACACCACACGTGGTTCTGAAGTAACACCACACTTCAAAAATGCTCTCAACAGGAAACACAGGCCAGGAGTGATAAGCAAAAATCCCTTGGCAGTAAGTGCAGTGCTCACCTGCAGTAAATAAACTCTAATCATGTAGATGAAGCTCAGCCCCAGCGTTACGATCCATCGCACAGCGGTGTAGGGGGTGGATTTGTCTAACCAGGACTGGTAGATCTGGGAGGAAACAAAGGCACATGTGAAATACAGGAGGCACAATGAGCACAGTAACATGAAATATCTGTGTTCTTCATTAATAAACTGGATCACACATAACTGTGCTTTGAAAAGTTCCGTGGTTTTATGAAACCCCTAATGCTTGGGGCATTGTAAAGCAATTTAACATTTCTGTATCTCATGCAAGTTACTTTCCTTAAGATCAATTTGACCTGAAATCTGAGCCACTCCTTGTTTTTGACAACACATATTTTCACTGTGCAGTGTCACACATGCACCCCTTAAACATTCCAGTTTTTAAAGTCTTCAGAAGAAATCTGAAGATTTCAGCATTTCAACAACTCATCCAAAAAGTAATGAGCTTAAGGAGCCACAGTGAGATTTACTCCTAAAGCAGTCAGAAAAATCCTTCCCCAAACCAACCTGTCCAAGTCTTGAGAAAAACCTGTAGACCACGGAGGGTTTTCCATGCACAGACTCCCCAATGCTGTCCCCTTCTGACATCGTGGCTGTGGAAACAAAACATGGGACACAGGGAACACTGAGACCCAAAATCTGAGCTCAGAAAGCTTTAAAGCACATTCTCTGAACCAGCATTTACACACAACATTCTTTTGGCTTGCACTGTTCAAAACAAGCATTTTGAACGAGGTATTCTCAAAGAGGGGACATCTATGCAAAAATGAATTAAATTTTTCCTAAAGTAATTGTCCAAGAACAGCAAAGAGCAGGGTGTTTTACAAAGGCAAGACAGGGTGCAGTCCATTCTGGGAGGGAAATAAAGAAACCCAGAGAGAAATGCAGGAAGGAGCCTGGTTGGACACCCCTTTGCTAAGGCAGGGGCTGAGTTACAACATCTGAATGGTGAGACACGACCTGCAGCACCTCCCTCCTGCCCCCTCAGTCTCTAAAGGCAAAGAACAAAACCAAAATAAATATATATATTTTTTTTTTTTTAAAGCTGCTTTGGATTTTAAATGCTCAGTAACCAGACAGTGAACAAGGAAGTTCAGGACTGCACATCAGTGCTTTCAGACTCTGCCAAGGCACCAAACTCGGAACTTTGCTCACAATAGAAAGGAGGCAACGAGTTTCTCTGTCTCTTGAGCGTGAAGAGCTGAGCAGTAGCAGGAAACTTTTCTGCAGGAGCAAAACTGAGCAGTCAAAGGGCCTGAACTGGAGTAAAACCATTAACCAAGGGGGTCATTTTTCAGTCCACGCTTCTGCTACCGATTTAAGAGCTTTATTTTCCTTATCAGTTCAGTTTAACTGGGTTTCACAGCTCACTGCAAGGTACAGGCCAAATAAACTCGATTCCAAACAGAAACGTTTTGCCACATCACCGAAAGCAATCCCTGACATTACTTCCTGGAATCCTCATTTGTGGGTGGGACTATGTAACCCTGGGATACTGGGAGCACTTTCAGCCCTACTCGAGAGCCTCAGAGGATAATAAAGCTGTGTGGAACATAAATAAATAAAAAAAACCAGTAAGTCATCTGAGATGCTGCAATACAAGTGACTGCTGCAGCAAATTTGGGACCAAGGACAATCTGGGGAGGCACAAAAACTTAAAGTTGTGTGTTTTTCCTGTAAACATCCGAAAACTACATCCTATGGAATCATTAGGAAGCAGGAAAAAAGGAGTCCTGCTACACTTCAAAAGCTAAGGGGGGTTCATCAGGAGGCTCCAGGAGCTGAGTCCACTTTATTTCAAGCTAGAGCTGAAAAGAAAAAAAGAATCAAACAGAAATTCATACAATATACAGATTTTTCCACTACAGGCAAAAGGAAGTGATTATTCCTCTCCCCACTCTCTGCAGGGCAGAAGTTACTCAGAAGATGCTCAGCTGAGCATCATTTTGTGCTTTATTCTGGTTTTTCTTTTTTTTTTTTTGAAGTCCTGAAGTATCAAGGACTGTAACCAAAAGATATTCAACCTATTGACCAGAGACCAATGAAAACTCTCACATTCTCAAAATTAATTGTCCAGATACACCCAAATATAGCAAATATGGGCTACAAGCAGACCTAAGGTGACAGTGTTGTAAATGCCACCCTGTGCAGAGCAAGTGGAGGATCAAGATGTGAGGCTCCTGACAGCTTTCTGCTGCAGCAGGGATTTTGCTGGGTGAAAAAAAATTGCTTTATATGTGATTATGTATGACTGTTTCTCATATACACAGTTCTTCCAGAGCAGCCCAAGAAACAACCAGCTGACACTGTTCTACTGCACAGGGGCTCTCTACAGTTAAGAACACTGGGGTTTTATTGGTTTAAGGGAATAATTAATATAACCAGTTGTAATCCCTCTTTTGTAATCATGGAATGGTTTGGGTGGGAAGGGACCTCAAAGACCATCTCATTCCATTCCACCCCCTGCCATGGGCAGGGACACCTTCCACCAGCCCAGGTGGCTCCAAGCCCCATCCAACCTGGCCTTGGACACTTCCAGGGATGGGGCAGCCACAGCTTCTCTGGACAACCTGTGCCAGGGCCTCCCCACCCTCCCAGGGAAGGATTCCTTCCCAATAGCCCCTCTCTCCCTGCCCTCTGGCAGTTTGAAGCCGTTCCCCCTTGTCCTGTCCCTCCAGGCCCTTGTCCAAAGCCTCTCTCCATCTTTCTCACAGATGTAACATAAATTCACTGTTCAGCACAGCCAACAATCAGAAAGTCACACTCACATTAATACAGCAAACGAACTGAGGCTGCTGCTAAAACTAAACCACGTTAAAGCAGTTTCTTCTCCTGAAAACACCAGGCAGGTGAAGGCAGGACCTTAAGAGATGACCTTTTCACCACAACTGTTATGGTAATGTCGCTACAAACATGATCGCTGAGTGCTCAAAACCAGAACCTGGGGCAGTAAAAACATTCACTTTCTGCGGTGACACACAGACGTGCCGAATTTCCAGAGAGCTCTGATTATGAGACAGGTTTTTCTTGAAGTTAAAATACAAACGGAGGACACCGGCAGCAAACCCACACTCCTGCTCGCACAGCCTTCCTTATCTCGTAGAGGAAACACCTTCGAAGAGCAACACACTCGAGTGATTTACTGTGACAGGGTGAATGGACAACCACAGGGCACGACCACGCTGGCGGCATAGGTTGGGTTTTTCACGCTAAAAAAAGACACTGTTTCATTTTATCCGTTCCGGCAGCAGCCGAGCAGCACCTGCGGCTCTCGGGGACTTCCCCGGCCTGGGCTGGGCTCAGCCCGGTCCAACGAGCGGGGAGCGGCCGGAGCGGGGCCGGCACAGCGGGGACACGGCCCGGGAGGCCCCGGGAGGCCCCGAGCCCGCGCAGCCCCCGCACCCCGGAGGGGCCGCTCGCCCCGGGCTCCGCCCGCCCGCCCAGGGGTGTCCCGGCCCGCAGTGCCCGCCCGCGGCCCCGCTCAGCCCCGGGCGGCCCCGGTACTCACAGGCGGCCGGGCCGGTCCTTCCTCCGCTCCCGCCCCTCCACACACCCGATATGGCGGCACCGTCGGGACGCGCTTCCGCTTCCGGGGCTGGGGAGGGACGAGCCCGAGTGCGGCCCCGCAGTTGGCCCCGGGGGCAGCGGGGCGGTCGCGGCGGGGAGGTGGGAGGGTGGTGCGGGCCGTGAGGGCGGGCGGGAGCGGGCGGGGGACGGGCGGGGCGGCACCGGCGGGGACCGAGCGCCGACCGGGCCCGCCCCGCTGCCCTGAGGGGGCGCCCGGCCCCGCCCCCCGCGCCGGCGCAGCCAATGGGAAGCGGCCGCTGAGGGCGGGCGCGGGCACGTGGCCAATGGCGGGACGGCGGCGGGCGGGGGGCGGGGCTGAGGGCGGGGTGGGGCCGGACCGGGCCCGAACGGAGCCGATCCCGAACCGAGCCCAGCCGAATTCAGCCGAACTGAGCCGAATGGCGCCGAACCTGAACCGAGCCCAGCCGAATGGATCCCGACCCGAGCGGAACCCGAACAGAGCCGAACAGAGCCGAGCCCGACCCGAGCGGGGCCGAGCAGAGCCGAACAGAGCCGAGCCCGACCCGAGCCGCCTCACGAAATGAGGCGAAAAGGTGTTTAAGGGATTTTAAAGTTTTAAAGTTTTTAAAATTTAAGGAGTTCAGTTATTCCATGAACACGTGAACGCTTAGGAATGAAAATCAGTAGGATAAGATGAGAAACAGTCGTTAGAGACAGAGGTGACACAAAGTCCCCACACGCGCTGTGGTGGGTTTGTCCCGGTGCCACAGAAACACTGACAAACAAACGGGGGGGGCCCTCGAATTTGTTACAATTCATCCTCATTTATTCCCCTCTCACTGCTCACGGGCTGGTCTGCACAGTTCTGTACCTCCCCTGGGCACCACTGGGCGTCTCCCCAGCACCTCTTTTGGGGCGGAATCTGTAAATCCTTCAGGCTCGGTGGCTGCTCTGGCACTGCAGCAATTGGGACTAAAGTTTACACTCAATATGTGCTCAAAAGTGACAACAAAAAATCCTGACACTCCTGAATGTTGATCTAGTATTTATGTTATGCAAAAATAGGTGTTTATTTATTTATTTAGCACATATATTAATTTTACACTTATATATAACTATATAAATATGTAGATATATCAATATATAGATAAATAAATTATATAGTCCTATATATATGCTAATAAAAATATACAATATATATAATATATCCATAGGTATATATAATAAATACATATGTATCTATTTACACATATTATATATTTACATGCATATGTGTATGTATATATATTATTATATATGACTTAAAAGACACCCCCTTGATGCAAGTGATCCCTCAGCACATACTGCTTTCAAATTATATGGTATAACATGAAACAATAAAAACATATAAATATTTTTTATTTCCGGGCAAAATAACCGGTTAAAGTTCCCTTTTAACCTCATTAGATTTATTTATTTATTTATTTATTTACTTACTTACTTATTATTTAACCTGTTCCCATAGATTTATGGAAGAGCTGACCAGCCTTCTGGGGAGGATCTAAGACAAACCTGCACCTTGCAGGTGAGTGATTCAGCCATGGGATTCTGCAATTTTAACCTCTCCCCTGCTTTGATGAGCTGTCGTCAATGAAAACCTGATAAAAACTATGTGATCAGTCAGTCTGTGGGTTTGTGTGCACAGGATTTGATAAACACCACTTCACACCAGCCCATTCCCACCCATTGGGGCAACAGATCAGTGCACACTGCAGTCCACCAAAAATCAGGGCACACTTCCAGCAAAACATGAGCCCCCATAGTGTGGAATAAACTGGAAATATGTGAGAGCTAATTAGAGTCAGGGAATCCTGGAATGGTTTGGGTTGGAAGGGACCTTAAAGCTCGTCATTAGAGGAATTATGTCTGGGCAGCTCAGGGGATGCAAACCTGGTCATAAGACAAATGGTAAAACTTGGTTTGTAGCCCAGAAAAGGGCAAATTTTAAGTGAAGGATCTGAGAATTCTGTCTGCTTCGTCCAAGTAAGGCTTTGAACGTGAGATTTTGAAATCCGTTTTGTTGGTCAGAATGTCAGATGCTATTGCTGGTCAGTCAGTGTACCCAGACATCTTACAAATAGCTCTGTGCTCGAAAACTGTGTAAAACTGTAGGAATTTTGGAAAAAATCTGGGTTGGTTGTTTTGTTTTGGGGTTTTTTTTCTACCTTTACTGAAACAGTACCTTGGCCATCCTGAAGTAATCTGCTGGAACAAAGAGAACACGGGCAAATATTTCGAGCCCCAGGGTACCCCAGCATTACTGCAGTGGGGTACAGAGCAGACTGAACCATGGCATTAATGCTGAATTTGTCCTGTTTTAGCTGCAGCAGTGTCAGGGCTGGATTTTTAGATCAGTCTGGCAAGTGGCAATTTTTGGTGAGTGGATGCTGTCAGTTAATAGTCTGGGAGCCTTCAGAGGTTCAGGTCGATGAAATGTCCAGTGAACAAGCAATAATTACAGCTGTCAACAGAGGAGTCCCAATAATAACAAACAGCTCTGATTTATCTCCTGCTTAACCATAAAGCTGATTTCACATTGGGCAAAAATGTTGTGAAGAGGTGCAAGATACAAACTACAGCTGAACAGTAGGGGACATGAAACAACACAAAGTGCCTGAAAGCTGCTTTTAAAAATAAATAAATGAACAAACCCCAGTGACCTGTGGTGGCCTGTCTGGTTTTCCTGCATTTGTATGTGCACACATTTGAGAATGAAAGGGAACAATGACACGTGAATGAAGTTTGCAGAGGTTAATGAAGCAAAACACTCATTTCTGCCATGAAAGGGTTTCCTCTCTGTGATGTCTCCTCACCTCCCAGGAAGCAGATGCCGCGTTCCCCCCTGTCCCTGGCTGTGTTCTGGCTGTGTTTGCTGCTCCCCCTCCCCAGAGGGAGCCCTGCTGTGGGATGCACCTGTTAACAGGTTCAGTTCTGGTGCAAATCATTTAAATTTCTGGAATTTCGGTTACTCTGAATCATGCTGGATGCGAGTGGATAATATGAAATCTGAAGATACAATAAGTCTGGATCCTGATTATACTTGCAATACAATGATGTATGTTATAAAAATATAAATAATGCTGTTGCTGATATAAGGGCCTTGAATGAGTCTCCCCACTAGTAAGTGTTGAGCTCTATTTTAATTGCTTGTGGAGGGCACCACTAAATTCTGTTTAGTAAGAGACTACCCTGAGTACAGCTGCATGTGAATTTCTGTAGTTAATTTACTACTGTTTGGTTGTTTTCTTAGAAGTAGTTGTTTCAGATGAATAAATCTGTAACATCTCAGGTTTTTCAAACACAAAGTGATTCATGCCAACCTGTTTTCATAGGCTGCTGCAGAAATGAATGAATATGATAATGTGACTCTGTGAAATTACTACTGTTCACGTACTAAATGTTCTTATTTATCACCCATAACATTTAATTGTAGTTTAAATAAATTCCATATAAACACATTTACTGCGGAGTTCAGAAACAATCCACAAATACACTGTGCAGTTACAGGAACAAATTCCCTATCACTGATTCCTAGGAGAGGAGGATTTCTGGGGTTGGTACTGAGCTGATGATAAACAGCTTTGCCTTCATCAGTTCCTGTTTGTCATGAACTCTTCATAGAATCCAAAATGGTTTGGGTGGGAAGGGACCTTAAAGCTCATCCAGTCCCACCCCCTGCTGTGGGCAGGGACACCTTCCACTGTCCCAGGTTGCTCCAAGCCCCGTCCAACCTGGCCTTGGACACTCCCAGGGATGGGACACCCCTTTCTGGTTTGTCTCTCTCAGTAACTTGCAGTGGCTCTGTGGCTGTGGCATCCCGTGTCTGGGAATCACAGAAAACACAGGACCTCGCTAAAACACGAGGATTTGGGTGTGTTTAAAGCAGAATTTCCAGTTCTCGTTGAAAATCAAAACCCAACACAAACAAAACCCCCCTCAGCATAACTCAGCCCATCCCTGGGAGCCTGGGGCTTTCCCCTTTGCCCCGTTCCTGCTCCCTCTGGGCACCGGGGGCTCTTTTCCTGGAGGCCCCGGTGTCTCTGCGGGTGTTCACGCCTTTGTCTCTCTGCACAAATGTGTGATGGGGAGATAGTGCTTGTGTGGACGTCAGCATTTCCAACCCTTGCATGTGTTGCATTGCTAAGCAACTTTTAGCAACACTTCTCCCGCGTCCTTATGCCATCTGGAAAAGAGGATTAGACAAGGAAATGTGCCAGGGAGAGACAAAGGCACATGTAAGAAAGAGGTGGCTTAATTACTTGGGAGGATGAGTGACATTAATAGCAGGCAATCAGCAGAAGTGATTGAAAGCAGGCACAGTGCTTCCCAGGTAGTGAGAAGGAACCTCTGGGAAAGGTGGCATCTTTTATACCCCTGGCCTTTCCCCTCCCTGCAGGGAGCTGAACCCCAGCGCTGATGCCCAGTGAAGGCCCCTGTGATTTCATGGAGAGTTTAGACAGAGCTCCAGTGACAGTGAGTCTCTTCTAGACCCTCTCCCAGTTGTTTTGTACACCCTGCTGCTTGAAGGTCCCTTGCACTGAGGCAGAGGAAGTTGTGGAATGCCAGTGGAGTGTGGAGCTTGTGCACATTAGTTCCCAAGAGCCCTGCTCCCCTGGGATAACTGCTGGGGATGGTTTGAGGGGATGGAAGGGATAGACTGGAGCATGTGGTGTCAGAAGGGTATTCTGTCTTTGGTGTCATCTTCCAGCACACCTGTAAGTGCTAAAGGTGCAAACAGAATTTTGACTAAATCCATCTGGAGCTTCAGCTGGGTTCACACACATTAGGGAATTATAGGAGCACTTTTTTGGTACCTCTGCTGTTACCACAGAAAAAGCCAAATATCCAACTTTGTAGAAGAATGGCCACTTCAGATTTTAAATATTCCCCTTCTCTGGTTCCCTATGCACTCTAACATTGGAAGAATTTTGCCTGACAGCTGAGCAGGATTTAGCACCACATAAAACCAGCGAGGTTTGTTACTGAGTTGTTTTACTTCCCTTACCTGGACTTTTGACTGCACTTTGCCCACTGTCTGATTGTTTCTGTGCCAGTTGTGACTCTGAACTCTCCCAATGATATGGAACAACCCACACTAAGGTTCAGTGCCAGCTCTGTGCTGCAGGGTGGTTTTTACACATACTTTGGAACAGAGCTGGGGACCACAATGTGCAATCCTACACTTGCTCCTCCCCGCTGGAATGAAACCTGTGCTGCCTGACCCTGTGTCAGTCCGTGGCACTGAAATGGGGGCTGTCAACTAATCACCTGAAGGTCGTGTTGGGTGGCAAAGGGGACCCTGGAGACACTGCACCTTCCTCATGACATCACACTGGGTTGCAGTTACGTGGGCAAGGTTAATGTTGCTGGAGACTTTAATTGGCTCATTCCTAAGATTCCCTGGTATTTGGCTCTGCTGCCTTAGGAGTCTTTAAACTTTTCTGCAAAGGGAATACCTTGGGTGAAATGCAGACTGGATTTAAATAACCAAGGCTTTTTTGAATTGAATTTGGTACACTATTTCACTTTTCACAACCTTTAAAAGCAAAATAATGTGTGATTCTGTATGTGACAAAGCAGTTATTCATTCTTGCCATGTAATTTAATGCGATGTTCTATATGAACTGAAGGGCTCCACATAATAGTATCCCACAGTAACAAACCTTGGGCAAGAAATGTTTGATTCTCCTCCCTTTCCCCTTTCGAGGAGTGCCACATAATCCTTGGTTGTTGTGTGGTCCCCTATTCAACTTTTCACAAAAATGTTGGAAGGGTATTTATAAAAAGCCTTGAGGACCACCCACTTTGCTATTGAAATTTGGCTGAAATAATCCCTTCTTTATAATTTAGCTGTGGTGTTGTCGAAATTTCAGTTCCATGTGGGTTTCTGTTTAAAGGGGCAGTGGGGCAATGACGTCCTGGATGGACAGGGAGCTGTGGCCAATTGTTGTGGTGACACCTGTGATGGGCTGGGGCTCAAAGGCTGGCTCAGACCTTCATTGTGCCCTCCAGTTATTAACAGGACTTGGACATAATGCCTTGGTTGTCCCTCTTGTGATGAATATGATCTGACTGTAGTGTTCAGCACCCTCTGAGTTCTCAGCTCTCCCAGAACAGCTCCCTCTCTGGAGCAGGAGGGACAGAGACCTTTCCTGGAGCGAGGGAGCTGCTCATTCAAAGGAAATGCAGAGCTACAGTCCAGCCTTCTTGTAATGGATTTTTATTCCTGTGATGAGAGAGTGGGGTTTTTTGGGTTTAATAATGTGGATTTTTAATTTTAAACTGAAAGCATTTTGGAATTAAGAAGATGGAAGGACAGGAAAAGAACAAGCTGTGAGTGCGTGTGTATGAGAGAGTCATCCCAGTCAGTGTAAATTCTGTCATTGCAAACAGTAAAGAATTGCTCAGCAGGTTCTGGTTTGATAAGCACAGAGCAGGAACAAATCCCATCCCACTGCAGGGCCATGGACTCCCCAGCTGCAGGGAGAGCTTGTCTAATCCAATTGACTCCTGTGTGAGGGGACT